GGGTGCGATTCCCTGAATTCGCTCCGCTGCCTTGCGGGCAGGCTGTTCAGCCAAAGGTTCGGGGTGGTGTCCCCTAAGTCAACACCCTACTTCGGCTTGGACAGCCGGGTAGTATCTCGCCCTCTGACGAAACCATGGACTTTGATGTATTTTGTTGTGTTTTCTTTTACTATTTCTGTACCTTCTTTTGAGTCCCATGGTTTCTAATTTCTCTATGTCTATTCGTAGACTGTTGCGAATATATATGTATATATTTATACATATATATATATCTTAGATGCTGGATGAACGGATGATGCAAAATAGAAAAACAGTTGGCGGGCTTACAAGGTTAAGAAAAAGAACTGAGTGGCGAGTAATTTCTTCAGACACCCGACTGACCTTCCTGGGGTCACATGGAATTATCATCAGTGGAGCAATTGGTGACAGCAATAACGCTCCAGAAACCAATAAGGAAAAGCTGATGGCACCATGTGAGGAGCTCGTTCTGGAGTGGCGCAGTTTGTCTCCGGCCATTGAGCTCCTTTGTCTCCAGATGGAACAGACCAAACCCAGACTAATTAATTTAAAGGATGCAGTTGGATTTAAAGAATGGAATGACATTCAAGCCCACTTCAGTCTCCTGGCTGATGGTGTGGATGCTCTAGCACTACCGTTGATAACAACGTAAACGCAAACAAAATAAGTATTTCAGAAGTCGATTGCGACGAAACTGCATTTTAACGTGAGGTGGTGATTCACATACTCTAGCAATAATGGGTGATTATTTCCAATTGCCTTCACAGGCACTCAAACCAAATAGACAAAAAAGATTAGACATGTCCAGTATGCTGGTACCTCGTACTGACGTTTCGCTGCCACACCACCAATATCAACCGCGTGCGGTCTACACACACTGAGACCTTGCCCGAACGTACGCAGATTCGAACCGGTGATCTCCGCGTCACAAGGCAGACGCTTATCTATCTGGCCACTGGCCCGTCAGATAAACTCAGTCAGTGTACTACTCATCGGAAGTTTCGGAGAAGTTGGTTATCGCCCTTCAAAAGCTAGGAACAGGAGACAACAGCTGAAGGTTACAAGCTTAGCTAAACTGGTTTAGACCATGTGCGCCGCGGTGGAACAGCACCACTCATGACTAATAGTATGTTACCATCCAGTTCAAGACAAGCGCCGGTACTGCATACCGGCGCATCGCTGCCGCGCAACCACCACCTGTAGCACGTGGGCTAAGGAAACTGTGAAGGTCGCCAGGCCCCTGTGCAGGTACAAACTCGCGCTGTCGGATTACAAGACAGACTTGTGATCCTTAAAGGTTGCGATGCAAATCCGACAAAATCCATACGCACTGGACAATGCCGCAGACAGGCACTCCACTACGATCGAAGAACTCGTTACTTGTTCTGGATCTTCCCATTCTGCGTGTAACAGGCCTCAAGTGGAATCCGACTGAGATTTACAGTCAAACTTTCGATCTGGGCTAAGACCCTATTGTCTTGTGTGTCCAACTGTTAAGCCAAGAGCTAGAGGATAGTCCTCTCGAACGAACCCCTCCCTTGCTTCACTCTGGTGGAGCATCATATTCGGGAAATGTGATGCTGTAATTGTGGAGAGAATTGGGCCTCTGTTTGGTAAGTGACCAAACAAAGGCATATGAACTGAGACTGTTCACCGACTCGCAGTGGGCGCGATTCAATGACTTCGCCTGTTGCCTTGGAGGTAGGCTATCCAGTCAAAGGCTCGGGGTGTGTCCACTAACAGCTTGGGCAAGCGCGTAAAATCGCGCCCTCTGAAGAAAGTATGGATTTTTCGGTCCTATGTTCGATTTTCTTTTTACCACCACTGTGCCTTCCTTCTGATGGTTCTATATTCCTATACTGCTGAAAAAATAATATATATATATATAATAATATAATAATATGTATCTCTCCTTCGAAATGGCCATGAAGATAGTATGATTCACACAATAGACAGCTGACAGTAATCCTTCTTCCTTCTAGCAAGCCCTCTATTCGTGTAAACCAGAAATAAGCCACGAACGATTGCATAAGACATGCCACTCGTGCCGACAGGGACGCTGGAAGTGCCGCCGTGATTAGCATGCCAAGCAAGCAGCATATAGATCATTGATCATTGGAATGTAGAGAGCAGAAGGGAAAATCTTTTGTCAGCTCCATCCCCTCCCGTTCGTCACCAGGGATCAATGTGGACATTGCAAGTCGGTCCCAATGGAACCGCTGCATTGACACAAGAAGCAACATGATCCGAGTTTACTCAGCAGATGAGAATCCAATCGATGTTTGGAACATTCCTCCGACTGAACATCAACGACATACACAGCTAGGTTGTCCCACACCTTCACTACTTTGGTAGACAGAGTGACATCGCAACAAGCCCTAAGTCTCCTTTATTTAAACACTTTCCAATACTGACCCAGTGTCGAACTGAGTGTAAAGGAATCCTGCATTTCAGCTCTAACGATACGCCGTGTGAAAATCAAATCCCCATGCCCTCGACGATAAGCCAGGGAGAACAAGTTCAGGCGCTGAAAATGAAGTGAGCAAGGCAGGTTTCGTAACTGCAGAATAGATTTAGATCCTAGCCGCTTACCTTGTTCAATCAGGTTGCGTTCAAATTTGGAAAGAGGATGGACAGTGGGCAGTCTATACTCAAGAATCGAACGTTCATGAGCAGTGAACACGAGCCTGAACATCTCCGGGGTCAAGCGGGAGAAGCATCGTTGTATGCTGAAAAGCATCCTGTTGGCAGAAGTGACTTTCCTCAAGGTATCTTCAGTCGATTTTAGGTACGGGATCACAACGACGCCAAGGTAACTCAAACAATTAGTTTGGCAGCAAAAACCCACCGATATGATAAACTCCAGATGGTTCGGAGGCACCGATCGGAAGGACGGAGCATTTATCGTGATTTATGGGTAAATGGCATCTGATCGACCAATTGTGCAGCGAAACGAGCCTTGTTTGTAGTCCATCAGCTTCATCCACACAGGAGACTTCCATACATTGCTTCAAATCATCAGCGTATATCAAACAATCTGCCAGTATTACAGACGCCAGGGCAATAATAAAGACTTGGAAAAGTTCAGAACAGTCTTGTGGAACGACGCTGATCATATTTACAGAAAAAGAAAGAGACTTACTTACTTTCACACGAAAAGCGTGGCCCTACAGTAAATCAGTGAGCCAAGAGAAGATTTTCCCTGAAACACCAATACTGCGCAGTTTGCTAGGCCAAATTTCGTGTGGAACCTTTTCAAAAGATTTGCTGAAATCCACAAAGACGACATTTAGCCGTTCACCAGCATCCATGGATTTAGCCAACCTTTCTCGAGCTACTAGAAGATTGGTAACGCATAAACGCGTACGATGGAACCCATGCTGTGCACTTGAAATGACGCTGATGTTCTGAAAATGCAGATTGAGATCTCGCTTGAGAATCCTCTCCATAAGATTGCAGACAACAGATGTTAGACTGATGGGCCGGTAACTTGTAGGATTTTGTCGATGCCCTCTTTTGTATATGGGCTTGGTTATGCATACCTTCTCAAGCAAGCAAAAGACGCCCAGTCTCAAGAGGGCGCCGAAATACTTGACAGATAGAACAGCAATATACTCGAACATAATCTTTAGGAACAGAGAATGTAATCCATCAGGTCCCTGGGGAAGAGTTTGGATCTATCTCGCACAAAAGTTTAGATAACAAGTTAGCGCTAAGATGTTTCCCACCTCACTAACGTGTATAATGATGATGATGTTACTGAGAACAGAGTCAAGACGAACAACCAACCGACGGTACCTCTGTTGAATAGACCGATGAATAATGGCAAACCAAAAGACTAGCTTTACCAGCATCGTTGTGGAGCACGGTGTTAGGAGTATGGGATTACAAGGGCGGTATTCCACTTCCGGCTCCGGTGCTCTTTTTCAGGCATGAAAAAAACAGCTTCGGCCAAATAACTTTCATATCGCTGCCGTTTTGTACGTTTTTTGGATATACATACGTTCCGAACCATTTCATAATTTGCACAATCAGTTTCCAATCTCAAAAGTCTATGGCGGTTCCAAAGTTTGTTCCTTTGGTTCATGGACGATAGTAGTTCTCTGTCAAGAATTTTTGTTTGGATATGGGAACAACTTCATCAATAACGGACAACAGTCTTGAGTGAACAAAACTAAGCATTATCGACGTCTAAGAGTTGGGGAAGACTCCAATCCTGTTCGCTAACGGCCATCTTTAAGCGGTTTGGATCAGCACACCAGAAATTTCGACGACAGACATAGTGGTTGTGAACGCTAAACCGTGTGGTTTAGCGAAAGCAAATTAGGCAGTGGTCACTCCTCCCGATTGGTGGTAAGACGTCCAAATCAGAAACACCCGGTTATGCAGGAGAAAGCACAAGGTCGAGTATATGCGGCGTCTGAGCAGGAAAAATGCGAGGTGCCGCGACATTTTGAATTAAATTGTCTTTAAGAACAGCTTCTAAAAACGTAAAATCGAACGAGTCAGGTGCAATATCACAGTGAAGAACTTGATCAATATTAGGGGTATTAAAGTCCCCCACTAATAAGCAAGCCTTACTTCCACCGTGCATTTTTAGAGATTACAGTATACGGTAACCAGAATTCGACGGAGCTCTGTAGAAGACACAGAGAAGGAGTGATCTACATCCATCATGAATAGGACACCCAAGCACTTCGGAACAGTCATTACTTACCCATACAACATCAACTAAATGGACCTTCAGATTCTCTTTCCAGTAAAGTATAACGCCGCCACGCGACCTCAAACCAATGCGATCAGCTCGTGAGACAGTGTAACCAGAAATATGTACTTCGGAATCTAGGATTTCTGGGGACAGGCATATCTCCGTAAACCCGATAAGATACCGACAGACGAGATAAATAATGAGACAATCAAAGTGAAAACAACTAATTTCCGTAGTTAAATACAAGTATATTACAAAATGTAAGTGAACTTACGTTCAATTTTTCAAAGTAATCACGCAAAAACATCAGAGGGTTATCTGGGCGAATAAGACACAAGTTGAGGACGGCGTCTCTCAGAAGCTCGCGTATTTTATGGATCATCAGGTACTCTTCAACGGCTAAGGCGAACTGTTGGTCATCCATTCTGGTCAACTTCTAAAGACCATACAGGCTTCCGCCTAACGAGCGTCGTTTCTTGCACCGGTGTAGTATGCCTCCGGTCGTCGGTTCCGAGGGCTTCTGATTCCGGTGCGGACGTGGGTCGTAGTAGACCAAGAGGGCTGAAAGGCAAAAGATATACTTCATAGGCGGATGGACAAACACCTAGTAAGTATCCGAGCTGGATGGAGGTTGTTCCTGTATTACACCTAGTCGCAAGTTGAACGGCATTGTCACAGCTGCTGAAGGGGGAAAAAGCGTGAGGTAACTGGACAGGATCCAGGGACGAAATAAGCTTTCGCTTAACCAGTGTCCCGTTTCGTGTGCCACTAAGCGAGAAGAGCTCCCAGCACTTCGAAGTGATACTAGATTCTTGCGTCTAGATTAGAAAAAAGAGTAAGAGCAAAAAGGCAACTACATTTCCATATATTTGCATTGGCTACTTGCATGTGGTTAGAGGCTAAAATAAGCATTTAAAAGAATTCAGGGAACAGGGCCAACCACATTTCGTCTAAGCCTCGTTTAAAGTCCTCTACCATTTTGCATTCCAGTAATGCAGGAGGAAGTTTGTTCCAACTAGGCACTGCGTGATTTAAGAAGAATTTAACTCTTATATCGAGCCTAGATCTCTGCTATTTCGGACGTAGCTGCTTCAAAGAGATCGGTTGGCATGAGACCGCTGAGACCCTTCATGATTGTGAATGTCTCTATTAAGTCCCCTCTCAATCTGCGTCTCCTCATTAAGTACAATCTCAAGTTGGCTAACCGAACCACGTACGGTAATCCCCGTCCGCCTTCTATCATTCGACGGACCAGTCTTTGCACATTCTCAATACAATTTACGTCCTTCTGTAAGAAGGGCGCCCAGGCCTGAACACAGTATTCTAAGTGCGGTCTTACCACTGCTTTATATAAGGGGAGAAAGACCTCTGGCCTGATACAACTCAGAGCTCTTCTAAGTCGAAATAACTTTGTCGTGCTTTATTAGCAGCATGCTTACATTGCGCCGACGGCTTGAAGTTATTCGTCACGATGATGCCAAGATCACGTGCTTCGATAGCACATTGCATTGTCAGGGACCCAACAGATGCTTTTAATTTTGGCATTTGCTGGCATTTAAGGGCAGTCAACAGTTAATAACAGTAGCCAAATCTTTAGATAGAGTAACCCTGTCGCCCTTGTTAACAAACTTGAAATCAGTAAAAATAAAGGGGGGCTCCTCAAGTAAAGGGGCCAAGTCATTTATAAACATAACGGTAGCTGACCTAACACTAAACCCTGGGGAACTCTACTATGTGCAGTACCTGTGCTTGAAATACCGTTTCCAACCCTAACACGAAATGCCCTACCGCAGAGGAACGCGGATAGCCAAGAAAGTAGTTGAGGGTTTAGTCCAAACCAGATCATTCTTTCCAACAGAAAGTGGTGGTTTACAGTTAGAAGCTTTACTGAAGACAAGATAACATACTTCTACCGGAACCTCGTCATTCAGACACCGGGTTATTTCGTCAAGGAAACAGCAGGTTTGTGAGGCATGACTTTTTCTGACAAATCCATGCTATTCCGCTTTGATCAAGTTATAAGCTGTGAGATACTCACAGACTCGATTTCTGATAAGCTTTCCAGACACTTCAAAAGTACGCTAGTCAGACTAACAGGCCTGTAATTATTCGGCGATGATTTCTAACCCACTTTATGGATGGTCACTACAACTGCCTCCTTCCTATCCTATGTTATCCATCCTTCACGAAGTGACATATTGTAAATTTCAAGAACTGGAAGCTGAAGAATATCGGCAATTGGCTTTACAATGGCTGGGTGCACGTTATTACAGCCCAGGGATTTGTAAAGGTTCAAGTCTTTCAGAACAGAAAGGATATCGGCTGCAGTCAGTTCGATTTCTCTCATTCTACCCTCGCTTGCGCTACGGGGCTGCGAGCGCATAGAATATCTATTGTCCGCTCGATGAGCTTTCTGAAAAACACATAGCAACTCCTGCGCCTAATCTAGGTCTTCTGTAACCTGAAGACCATCTTCTGTGTTTAAGTTAACAACAACTCTTAAAGAAGACTTCGACTGCACATAGCTGTAGTAGCATTCCGGATTCGTTTCAACATTACGCGCAAGCCTAAGCTCATAGGAGTATTCGGCCTGTCTGCAGTTTGACAACCAAGTTGCGACAATTTTTGTAGCTCTGACATATGCGGAATCCGCCGGTCTCATTGAGCCTTTTTCATAAAGCAGTACGTCGTTTCAATGCTCTACGAATTCTCCGGCGCCAATAACGAGATTTGCTTGAGTGACGTATTCTGCGTAATGTAGCAAACTCCTCTAACAGCTGCGTGAGCACACATTTGATCATATGCCATCTCTGTTACAGAGTTGCCTCTGCCTGTTCAGGAACCCAAGTAATGCTTGTGGCTCTTTCCCTCAAAAGCATGGTACTAATGCGGGTTAGATTCCGTGTCATGCGGGATTAATCTGATATATTCGGTAACCTAATGGAAAAAGGAAGAATAAAATGATCACTCTTACCGATAGGAGCTCCCACGGTAATCGCTGACAATCGACCATGTTTCGTGATTACAACGTCTAAGGAAGAGGGAACATTCCAGCCACGACTTCTAGTTGGAAAATTAACGTATTGCACAAAGGCGTGTTCATGCACCCACTGCACTAAGTCTCCTTCCAAGGAGTCAGCCTTATTGACCGCATGCTCCCGGTCGGCATTTGGTAGGTTAAGGTCACCAACTATTTAAAAGCCTGGCGCTAAAGAAGCAGCTCGTTTTAACAGCTCGCTTAGCTCCTTGTCCTCCCTTCGCGTCGAGGATGGGCTGCGGTAAACACACAATTAATTCGACACTGCTTTCAACTCGCAGAAAACATGAAGTGACTTGAACACTGGGGGTGCACATGGCGTACGGAGCTTCCCAATGACAATAGTGAGGAAGAATAAGTAATAGCACCCCACCTCCACTTTGGCATCCAAGACGATCCTTCGTGTATCTCGAGAATTCAGTTAGGAGACAATCTTTTATTGGATCATTCGAAGAAAGTCAGGTCTCGGTGATCGTAACCACATCCGCACCTCTGCAACTCAACGCTAGGTCCCCTCATTCGTTTCTTAAGCTACAAGCATTTGTGTACTATACGTTTATTGGCGCCTGCCGCAGTCCGTTTCCGCCCGCAAATATTCTTTTAAAGTTCCTCTCGGGAGCAGAACCCGAGAGGACAGTCCGTTTTTTGGCTCTTGGGTAACAGGAGTAGCTGGGGCGTTAAAATGGACCTGTGGAGACAGTACAACGCTGTGTGAGTTGGTATTTAAGTTACAGCTAGCTGTTTTGGCGACTCGGGTAGCAAGTTGTTTTTTCGTCTTTCAGCGCATACTCTTGACCTCATTAACAACTGATCTCTTAGTTGCACTTGACTGGGACGGTTTTAGACTCTTAGAAGCGTCGTCGGAGAGCGCTTCCCTAGGCCCAGTAACTAGATCAATCGTAGTTCCTGGTAAACTCGTTTCTGGTTCCCTTGAGTTGGCAGCAGCAGTCATGCTCAATCGCCTACAAACAACCTATTTTCCCATGAGCGGAGAGTTCGGGGCCACACTACTCATCAACATATTATTGGAATCATTTGAAGGAGGCACTCTTTGAGTAACGTCCAGAAGGTCGAGGTCTGCTGTAGCCAAGTTCCGTGAAGTGGTAGAAGCATCCACCTGGGGAGTGAACCTCATGAGCTGCACATAGCACATTATTAACACCGAGGTTCTGATTGAAGTGGTGGTTCACTGGTACAACAGAACCGATGTTCATGTTGTGCGACGGTAATAGTGAGGTGAATTGGGCGCATGATGCGAGCGTGTCTGGGGTCACTTAGTAACGACCATTTATTTGGCCAGCTAATAGACCTGCTCGGTTAAGATCCCGATATATCGGGTTTTTGAACTACTAAGAACATCATCATCATCATATCATCATACTACACGTTAGCTGGAGGTGGGGAACACCTCAGCTACTGTGCTGCCATACAACGAAAAAAGGAGAGAAAAAAAGCAACTGGTGCAAGCTGGCTGAGCTACCGGTAACGGATGGGCATCGTTCCGGTAAGCTACCAGCCGGCAGCTGTGCACCAAAAAAATTACCATGCAAAATTATATAAGGCTAAATAATGAGATCGTGGTTGGAGGGGGAGGCTAAGAGGGATGAGGTGGGACAAAGAAACTCACAGCACGAACGCCACTGAGGTCGGCTCCTAGCCATATCAGCAAGTGTGTCCAACCAAACGTGTTCATCGTCTTTCGGACCCCAACCAGGGAACCGAGACGCTCCAACCGAGGCCAGCTCAGAAGTGAGGGCCTTCATTCCTCTGGACCAAGTCATGGCTTGGCCACCCCTCCTCTTCTTCCATCCACACCCCAGCGAGCCAACAACGCACGTCGCGGGAGTCAGTGGGCTGGCATGCGTAACACGTGGCCGAGCCATCGGAGCCTGATGCGTGAAATAACGTTGCTGAGCGGTTCCGTTCCTTTTCCTGTGCCGTAAATGAGGCGTCGAACACGCTCGTTGCTCACGCGGTGTTCCCACCAAATGTGAGCTAAATTACGAAGGCACCGGTGGTCGAACGTAACTAGCCTCTTCAGGTTCGCTGCTTTAAGCGGTCAGGTTTCACAACCGTACAGTAGGGTCGAACGTACCGCTGCATTGTACACTCTGCCCTTCAGGGCAAGAGTGATGTCGCGCCGGCGCCATAAGTGGCGAAGGTTAGCAAAAGCGCCCCGAGCTTTTGCCGTACGATTCGTGATTTCATCTTCAATCCCACGGGCGCTGATACAACTTCCCAGGTAGTTGAATTTTTGAACAATTTCTAGCTGATCCCCACCAAGGGTCAGCGTAGGGGGCGGTCCAGACCAATCTTGGAGGAACGCTTTGCACTTCGAGGGTGCGAAGCAAAGCCCGAAGTGACGGACAGCCAGTGCTAATCTGTCCAGTGCCGCTTGGTACGTTTGTGAGCTGTCACAGATTAGGGCAATATCATCAGCATACTCTAAGTCAAGAAGTCGTTCTCCTGGGAGCAGATCCACACCTTCTAAGTCGTGTCCTGTAAACGCGATTTGCATGACTTCGTCAACAGCGAAGTTGAAGAGGAAAGGTGACAGCGGGCATCCTTGTCTCACGCCGCTGGAGATATTAAAGGGCGACGACAACTTGACGTAAGCCCTCACTCTGCCCGAGCTATGCGCATATAATGCTCGAATAATATTCACATATTTCTCAGGGACACCTTTCCTGAGTAGACAGTCCCAAAGTGCATGTCTATCCACCGAGTCGAATGCACCTTTGATATCGAGGAACACGACAACGGTGGGCCGCCAATATATGTGACGGTGCTCCAAAAACTGACGCAAGGTGAAGATGTGGTCAATGCAGCCACGACCTCGACGAAATCCAGCTTGCTCTTCACGAACCTGGCTTTCACGAGTGCCAGTCAGTCGGTGAGGGATGACAGAGGCAAGCAATTTGGAGGCGATGGAGATGAGACTGATTTCTCTATAGTTGCCGCATTCCGATCTTGAGCCTCCCTTGAAAACTGGGATTATGATGGATCGGCTCCAGTCGGTTGGGACAGTTTCCTGCTCCCACAGTTTGACTAGTAACTCGTATAAATCATCCACAAGAGCAGGTCCCCCGAATTTGAAGAGGGCTGGAGGAAGGTCATCAGGTCCCGCGGCTTTGTTTAACTGCAACATTTCGATCTCACGTACGACTTCTGAGCGAGAGGGTGGATCCAAAGGGACAGCTCAGGGAGCGGGGCGGTCAGTGGCCGGCGAGAAATCTAACCATTTCGACCGATTAAATTGCATCAACATCAGAAACCATTTCAGGGTAAAGAATTCTTTTCGGTAAATCTCATCAGACCCAAACTTTTACATAACAGTGATTGTGGATATAGCGTCAACTGGGCTGGGATTGACTTCTTGACTGTTTGAATGACCAAAATCGATAACTTGAGACAGAGATAGAGATGGTGGACCAAGTAAACTAAATAAACATATGTATACAATTCTCATTAGTACAAGGTAATTAAGTAGGTAAGATGACGTCCAAACAACTAAGTAACGGTGTCCGTTGGCCAAGGTAGTAATATCGGCCGTATAAATCGTTTTTGGACACATAATTCCGGCTTTAGATGGTGAATGTACATAGCCTCGGCGATGGCTAAGAGCTGTTTGCGGAATCCTTGGGAGAAGTGTTCAGGTAATGAGTAAATGACTTTGAAGTCATTCTCCGAAGCTGTATGGCCACATTCAAGGAGGTGCGACATGATAGAGCTGTCTGAAGACCTCATTTCGCCTCTGTAAAACCATGCCGGGATGTGTTCACGAACCCTCTGAGATAGGCGTCTCGTCGTGCGACCCACGTATCGTGCACCACAGGAGCACGAGTACTGATAAATGATCATTGAACGGGTAAATGGCGGTAGTCTATCCTTCAAGGGTTTTGTAAGCAACGGCTTATTGTGAAAAACGATTCTCAGGCGGGCCGCGAAATAAGTTTTCTCGACAGCATCTTTCAGGCGTCTGGATAACATATCAGCTGCAGAATCGCCCTTAAAGGGTACATGTATGAAAAGCTCTTTCTTAGGAGCAATGCTCCTAGGTGGCTTTCGATTACGTTCCTTCAAATGTTTCATGATAAATTTATCCGGATAGCCATTTTCCCTGAGGGCGTCGCTGATTCTCTGTAGTTCTTCGTTGACGGTATCCGGTGTACAAATACTGCGCGCCCTGAAGGCGAGAGATCTGATTAAACTCCGCTTGTGCTGTAGTGGTACTGCCTTTTAAAGTGCTCAGCCCAAAGCTCTAGGCGTTTTGATAAGTTGTGGATAGGCTGTCCACTCTTGTCACGTATAGTTTCACTAACACCAGGTCTCCTGCTGCCCG